TTCCCATTTACCTTCCCTTGCAGTTGGCTCCACTTTACGTGTACAGGCGCATACAGTAGACCCCCCCTCCCGTCCCTCCCGCGCAATTCCCACCGTCGCCCCATTGGTTCTAAGCACAATTCTCCCCGTGCTCCAGCACGTCAGTGTCCGTCATTGCCCCGTCAGTCTATCGGCAACCTGCGTACCAGCCGTGTCGCAGTGCTTACGTAACAATTATTATTCCTTAAACCAGTGATCCGTTAATTTTCATTTTGTTTAAATTATTCCTAATTTACACCCCACTAAAATCACCACTCGAGAGACCGAAAAGCCGCGCAAATAAAACCCGTAAAAACAAATTCTCAAAAAATAAACGGCTGAACAGAAGGGATTAATGCTAAAAAGGTTGAAATGCTGGAGTGATTACCAAAAGTCGTCTGGATGGGATGTACATGTGATTGTGTGCCCCCAGTAGCCGTGTCACCGCGCGAAATACCCGTGTCCAGGGTATTTAAACCCCACTAGAGTGCACTTGTCCATCAGAACGAGCCCTCGCTCCTCCTCGTCGTGACACCGAGCACCGAGCGAGTGAAGATCAATCGAAAACCCCCCGCCCGCCCGCGATAACACCGCAACTAAAATCCTCCGTCCTAAAAATTCTCTCAACTCAATTATCCTCATTATTAATTAATCATTATTGATAAGCCACGCGTTGCGGCACAATCCGCAGGTTAACCGCTCTCTTATGCCACGACACTCGTTATATCGATTGCTTTGAAAATAGAAGCGTGTGTGCGGGGGAAACGAAACACCTGCTCAACTGTACGGGTACACAGTTCCACGGTTCTACAGTGCGACAGGTGCAGTATTAAACAGCCCAGGGTATCGGGAGTGAGGTTGAAGAGGGGCTAGAACACTGGGGACGATAAGGGTGGCAAGTGCTGTGCAATTGTGATTTGTCTGTGAAACAAACCGTTTTTTTTTTTCGTTTATTCGTTTATTTATTTGGATGCATTGACGGGGTGCGACGGGGAGGAGCTCTGACGGTTGGGAATTGTCGGGAATTGTTGTTGTTTTTTTTTTTTCGTCGGGGCCGTTTTGAGGTAGTTTATTCGACGAAACAGTCCTGGAGGCGCCTGTCGTCTTCGCCGGTACAACCATAACGCCGCCCGCCCTAAAACGCCCGAGACGGGAAACGGTGGACTCATCCCCGCCACCCGCTCGCATTGCATCAACAACCGGTAATCCCGGATCTTCGGCCGAAATACAATCCTGCATTATGGAGGCACCATTATCACAGAGCATGGATTCGGTCAATACCGTGGCTAATGGAGAGGACGAGGTGAGTTTTAATTTTGTGGGGTTTAAGTTTTTTGCGGCCGGGGGGCGAGGGATTTGTTTTGGGGTGGGGAGGGCTGCACTGTGCTGCCATCGGTGGGTCACGGGAGAGAGATTCTACCCCCTTCGGGCGCGCGAGACCACCCCGTGGCGCCACTCGGTCTGGTGCAGGAGTTTTTTGGGGGCGGGTGGAAACAACGTGCGGACACTTCTGCGCAGGCGGTTTTGTATTGGGTGGACGGGAAAGCGGGGGAGGTTTTTGGGGGGAATGCACGGTTTTTGCGAGGTGAGTTGAATGGAAATGGGAAAATTTTTCGGTTTAGGCGGTTGACGTCGATGGTTGGTAGTGGCGGTTGCCACCACTCGGTCTGGTGCAGGGGTTTTTTGGGGGCCGGGTGGAAACAACGTGCGGACACTTCTGCGCAGGCGGTTTTGTATTGGGTGGACGGGAAAGCGGGGGAGGTTTTTGGGGGGAATGCACGGTTTTTGCGAGGTGAGTTGAATGGAAATGGGAAAATTTTTCGGTTTAGGCGGTTGACGTCGATGGTTGGTAGTGGCGGTTGCCACCACTCGGTCTGGTGCAGGGGTTTTTTGGGGGCGGGTGGAAACAACGTGCGGACACTTCTGCGCAGGCGGTTTTGGTTTGGGTGGGCGGGGAGAGCGGGGGAGGTTTCGCGGGGCGAGTTGGATGAAAATGAGGCGCCTAAAATGAAGAGAAACTCATCATTTTAGGCGGTTGACGTCGACGGTTGGTAGTGGCGGTTACCACCACTCGGTCTGGTGCAGGGGTTTTTTGGGGGGCGGGTGGAAACAACGTGCGGACACTTCTGCGCAGGCGGTTTTGGTTTGGGTGGGCGGGGAGGCGGGAGAGGTTGCTGGGGGGAATGCACAGTTTTCGCGACGTGAGTTGAATGGAAATGGGGAAATTTTTCGGTTTAGGCGGTTGACNGCGGGGGAGGTTGCTGGGGGGAATGCACAGTTTTCGCGAGGTGAGTTGAATGGAAATGGGGAAATTTTTCGGTTTAGGCGGTTGACGTCGACGTTTGGTAGTGGCGGTTGCCCGCACTCGGTCTGGTGCAGGAGTTTTTTGGGGGGCGGGTGGAAACAACGTGCAGACACTTCTGCGCAGGCGGTTTTGTTTTGGGTGGACGGGAAAGCAGAGAAATTTTTCATTTTAGGCAGTTGACGGCGAGATAGAGTGGCGGTTGGCGCGACTCGTTCTGTTTTATTTTTTAAGGGGGGGGGGGGGGTTGAAACAANTATTTTTTTGGGGGGCGGGGTGAAAACAACGTGCAGACACTTCTGCGCAGGCGGTTTTATTTTGGGTGGACGGGGAAATCGAGTGAAGTTTTTTGGGAGGAATGATGCATGGTTTTCGGGAGGTGATTTGTATGATTTTGAGGGCGGGGGGGTTATTGAAAGGTTTGGGGATTGAAAAGGCAAATTTGCATTTTAGGCGGTTGACGTCGAGGTAGAGTGGCGGTTGCCGCCACTCGGTCTGTTGCAGTTTTTTTGGGGCGGGGTGAAAACAACGTGCAGACACTCCTGCGCAGGCGGTTTCGGGTGGACGGTGAAATCGGATGAGGTTTTGGGGAGGGAACGCACCGTTTTCGCAAGGCAAAGTGTACGATTTTGGGGGAGGAGCGGTTATTTGCAGGGTTTGGGGATTGAAAAGAAAATTTTTCGCTTTAGGTGCACTGCGAAAAAAAATGCCTTTGCCGAGTATATATACTTGCCACAAGGAAATGTACGTAAATATTTGCATAAGACATGTGTAAATTTTCTTGTGGTTAGTAAATACACTTGGCAGAAGCATTTTTTTCTCAGTGCTGTTAACGTCGGTGTTTCTACTACGATGTTCTACTGCAAAAAATTTGCAGTTTCATAGAATTTTCAGTGAAATTTGAATCTCTATCGCAGTTTCAGCCCTAAATTAATTTCAATGTCACTCTCTTAAAAATCACAAGTCAGTTATTCCTGAAATTTCAAATTTTTCCAACGGTCCATTGCCAATCCAAATCAAAACATTCTTCTCTTCAAAAACCCAAAAGTTTAATTTCTTGATTAATTTTCTTCTAAAAGCTGCAATAGCTGTTGGCAAAAAATACCATAAAAAATTCCCTCCTGCGATTTAAATTAATTTAATGTCACTTTAAATGTCAGAAAATTCGAGGAACTCGAAAATTCTCGTCTTCCTACCGCCAAAAATTTGAAACTTCGTAGAATTGTTAATGAAATCTGAATGTTCATCATTGTCTCAGCCCTAAATTAATTCCAACGCAGCTAATTGTTCAAAAAGCCCCCAAAAAAAATCCCTCATGCGATTTCCATCAATTCAATATCACCGTAACCTCGCCTTTAAAAAAATGAAAGTTTCCAAAACCCCCAAAATGTTGATTACCCCTCGTGACCCCGAATCCTCGCCGTTAAAAGAATCCATCACCGGCCGGGATTATCCCGAAAAAACCCGAATTACCCGAACCGAACATTTTGATTAACCCCGCAAAAAGCAATTCCCCCCCAAAAAAAATATTCCCAGTCCATATTCCCCACCTCACCCCAACAATTTTCCGTGGGGCGTGCGCGGGCGCGTGAAGAGGCGTAAAGGCGCGGGAATTCGATCGGGCCAGCGTGCAGGTGACGTTCACCACGTCCTGACGGCCTGGCGGGGCGAGGGGCCGAAGAGCGAGGGATCGTATCGCCCAACACGAGTAGATACACACACGGATCAGGCCAGAATACACGAGACCATAGGTTCCCTGTACGGCCTAACAGTCCGTCCTTTATTCTCGCGGCGGGTCTCTCCCAGGTGGGGAATGTGTGGTGCCCATAGCCGTATGGCTGGCTTCCTTCCGGTCTTTCTTTTTTCCCCTGTCCCCTTCCCCCCCCCCACACACCCCCCTTCGCGCCCCACTCACCCCCTCTCGATCCCTCTCATCGTTCTTTCTCACTCGCCGTCCCTGCGTACCTTCCACCTGAGCGCTCAGCGCGGCGCGCCACCAGTCTGCCATGCTTGTTATTGATTTTTCCACGATGCCACGACGACGGTCAAAAGAGGGAGAAAGGAGAGTAAGAAAAACGAGGAGAGTGAACTCGTCTCTTACTGGCGTGAGAGGGGAGAGGAAGAGGGTGAGGGGGGAGATAAATACCGATGTGTGTGTGTGGATGATGTCCACAAGTTGAGTCGGGGGAGGATTATGAGCTCGTGGATGACATGGCGGAGGGGGGGGGAGGTG